CATTTATAAAAGAAAACAAAAAAGTCTTCCTAATTAGGTGCTTTACTTACCATAAATTTAGTAATTTATTATAAAACCACCATAAAATTTGCTGCAATTAATAACTTCATTATTCCTTACGTTTTATGTGCTCAAGGGTAAATTGGATAAGGAAAGAAATATAATATTGACTAATTATCTCATTAAGGTAAGTAATCTAAGATAATGATTTTAAAAATATAAAAATAAAAAGATTACATCCTACAATATTTAAAATACAAATTTATAAATAAACCCAATTCTAGACATGTATTTACAAAAAAAAAATCCAAGCACTATTTAAACATAGAAACACACCCAAAATCAACCCCAAAGTCAACTTTTTGGGTGTGTTTATAAATGGGTTTTGAGTGTGTGTAATGATGGGTTTTGGGTGTGTTTATATGTTTAAATAGTGCTTGTGTTTTTTTATAATTTCAACCCCCATTTTAAGTGTTTTAGTGAAACTCCCTATTTAAAAAGGAATGTAATCCTATGTAGCACAAAAGTCAAAGGACTTGTATCAAAGTCACCAAATATGAGGATTAAACCCAACTCCTGGATAGGAATTTGGATCTATATCAACTTTTCTATATTTTATACTACCCCTCCTTGCTTTCCACCATGTTTACAATGACATCCACACAATAACAACGTGTGGATATCCGAATGAGAGAAAAACTATATATATAATATGTAGCTAACCTCATTATATGCCTGAGAATGGAGCTAATTAATCGAGTGACATACACAAATACAAACACAATTCAAAATACTTTATACGCAGTGGCGTACGCAGGTTGGGACAAGAGGGGTTACATGACCTCTTGGAATGCCAGAAATCTGGTCGTGGACTCCACCAACGACCCCTTGTGTGCACGTAAGATGCTCAATAAAAGTCCCCTATGGACTTGCCTTGCGCTGCTCAGGGCTCTCTAAACTTCTTCCAAACGCACTCTTACAGCACCACGACTTCGATTATTTTTGGGTTACAAAGGCAACGAAGAAGATGATGTTGGTGATGTTGCCTAGCTTATTCCTCCTTTTAGTTGAAACTCACTATTTCATTAACTTGTGCGTTTTTAAAAAAGTTTGGCCCAAATTTTTATTAATAAAACCTTTTAACCTTTTACTCCAGTGACATATTTAACTAATATGTTAGTACAATAATAGTTTATAAAAATTAATAAATATATTATTTTAATTGCCGTATAGGTGTCATACTTGTATCTTAATTTTTGGAGATTTGAATGAAAGTATTATATTTTTGCTTTTTAGCGTTATTCTTTTAGTAAAAAAAATGTATATACTTTACACTGTGACCTCTTAGCCTGAGAATCCTGAGTCCACCACTAGTCACTGTTAATGTGTTTGATTTACTTAACTGTTGTAAATGCATGAGTTGACCATACCTCTTAGCATTCATCCTTTCTAATTCTATGTAACCTATGCACTAAAAACCATAGTTATGGGCTTATAATTTATGAGTTGTTAATGTTTTCTTACCATTGTAAGCCTATAAATAAAAGGTCTTATCAAGATGAGATATACAAGTTGATTGAACAATTTCTATTGTCTTTCTCTATTTTCCAATTCTCTACAATTTTTTCCTTAGTTATATAACACGTTATCAGCACGACATTGCTCTTGGTATGTTTTCTTTCTTTGAATTTTCTTTCTTCTTATATGAGCTAGAGTCATCACATGGTATAGAGTTTCTTTGTACTCACCATCAGACTTCATCATGCTCGTTTAAGGAAAAAAATTCTTATTCTTATTACACATGGATATAATGCCATGTTTTTTATTTGTTTGTTTATTTAATTTTAAGTATGATCTTAATTATTATGATGAGTTTGTATTATACAAAAGATCAGGGCCCGAAGTTCCTCGATCCTCATCATGTAACTAGATTATGACCTAGAGTTCTTTTGATTGAATCAGAACCTGAAGTTCTTTGATTCCGAATAATTGAGGGCTTGAAGTTCCGCGAATTTAAAGAGCACATAAGGACATGAAACTTCTCGATTTTGTATTAATCAAAATCAGAATTCCATGAGGCCTACATATGTCAAAAACCCGAACCAGAAGTTTCGAGTGTATATACATGGATTTGAGTATGAAGTTCAAAGCACAACTGTTAATTCAATTTATTTAGATCTATGTATTCGAACTTGAAGTTTCGAATATATATTGATATGAACATGAATTGGTTGGAAACCCAATTCTTAAACTTGTAGTTTTATCTACATATTGAATCCATATTAATATTGGATTATCTTGGAATTTCATAGTCTTTAATTTATTTATTTTATTCCTCGTTTATACCACTTTACTATTTTATTTTATTTTATTTTATTTATGTTGGGTTATTAGTTAATTTCGTTTTACAATGATAATGTTTTGTATTACCCCTCCATATTGACAGCCAGAGGTGTCTATTGGAGAAACTTCCTACTTTCTTTTGTGAATAAGAAGTTTATGATGTCATGAACCAAAAGTTCATGAGGCCCCAATATTACAAAACTATTAAAGTAGTTGAAGATTATGATATCATGAACTAGAAGTTCATTGACCGGATAACTTTTATGTTGTGGCATGACTATCTTGGCAATCTATGTTCCATAATGATACATAAGAATTTTATAAATTTGTAAGGACATCGTTTAAAGACTCAAAATATTGTCTTGTCCAACAAATATCATTACAAAGAATGCTCACAAATAAAAGCTGTCATACGATCATCTTAGTCAAAAATTGACTTTGAGCCCTTTTTCCTGAAATAATTCAAAGGGATATTTGTGAGCCTATACAATATTTAATTATTGATCACTTCACCAGTTTTATTGAACGTGCCTACTAAAATGGTCACATATTTATCTCTTGTCAATACGCTTACGAGCATAACTCCCAGATTATCTAATCCAATCAATTTGAATTGATAATGATGGTGAGTTTATTCTCCTACATTTTGAGACAATTTTCCCGCCGTTAGGAGAAGAAATGACAGTTCCTAAAGAACGTCTTGAAATAGTGTTGAATCGGTCCGCTTTTGTCTCATCAAGATAATGCATATATAAAGTTATGAATATGCAAGCATGGATTGATATTCATGTATCACAATCCATTAACATGACGATAGTGACCATGAACATGACAAAAATATAGGTTCTAAAAACTTAACTCCCTAGAAGTGGAGATTATTTGAAAAATTCAAGCCATATAAAAAATAACGCTATATATGAGGTTATGATCCACATATTCTAATTAATTCATTGTAAAAGAGATGTTTGTCCCATAAGTGAGAACATCAGCCCCTAAAGAGGTATTGGTACCCCAAAGCAATGAGATGCTTATACATTATGCATGCGCATGCACATGAGAATTGCGGGATCACGAATTGATGATACATTTGGTTTATTAGTAGCTACTACAATCATCAAGGGCTATGATTATATTAAATCACGTTTCATGAATGTCGACAAGTTAAGTGATTGCCCAAAAATGGAAATAGACAATTTCATTTATCACTAAATATGAAGGGTTAGATATTGAACCTATAACTCAAACACCGAATTACAAATGTTAAGTATGAAGGTTGCGAATTGGTGTTTGTGAAGTGAAATAAGATCACTAATATGACATAAGGTTTCCTGGGAGAGACATGATTTTAGTCTCCCATCTCATCGTAGATGCATCCACATTTCCATAAGTGCAGTTGTTATTTTAACGCGAAACTTATAGCATGTATTAAATGCATATTTATTAAGACTATATGGTACATGGAAATCCTCAAAGCTCATGAAATATTTGAGATATATCGGATGAAGTGACCCCTTGAATGATATAAAGTACCACAATATTCTTAATTAAGAGTTAACACTAAGAGTTTGAGTATTTTGAATTCAAATTTGATATTGTTGTAACATATTCTAACTACTAAATTAGTTGTTGATGCTCCTAAAGATTTCAATCATTTGAAAAGTGAAAAGCATGTCGAATAGTGTGACAGACGATCATGCATGAAGACAATGTTGCTTGTATTGCTCAAATAAGAGAAGGGGAGATATTAATCAGGGGAAGCATTCCAATTCTACTACATACAGGACATATGCGCGTTGTACTCTTTTTCCCTTCGACTAGGTTTTTTGTCCCATTTGGCTTTTTCTAGCAAGGTTTTAACGAGGCAACATAAGCGCATTCAACACCATATCAATTATCCAAAAGAAAGTTTCACTCTTTTTTCCCTTCGCTTCGGTTTTGTCCCACTGGGTTTTTCAAGCAAGGTTTTTAATGAGGGAACTATGTCATTGTATGGTGGATATCCAATGAGGAGTGTTGTAAATGCATGAGTTGGTGGATGACCACCATACCTCTTAGCATTCATCATTTCTAATTCTATGTAACCTATGCACTAAATACCATAGTTATGGGCTTGTAACTTATGAGTTGTTAATGTTTTCTTACTATTGTAAGCCTACAAATAAGAGGCCTTATCAAGATGAGATATACAAGTTGATTGAACAATTTCTATTGTCTTTCTCTATTTTCCAATTCTCTACAAATTTTCCCTTAGTTATATAACATTAACCATAATATACAATTGTTTTGACAACTTGAACGACCAACACTAGGAAGTTTTTACTAAGGGGGACAAAGCACAGTATTGCACGCAAACAATATACAATTAAATGAATCGACAAAATATTTTTCTAGTTTTTCAGCCAGTCATAATAAGCCACAGAAGAAGAAAATGAAAGTACCATTTTAACCATTATTGTCACTTCCAAACCTTGCATTTCTCTCAGGCGTAACTTACCCATCACCACCGTTTATAAAAATTTAGAAAAATAATATTAAAAAAACAAGTATAAAATAAAACAATTCAACAATCAAATTAATCTTCGTTTATTTTTTTATTTTATTTTTCTTGGGTCTAAATTCAACATCAATAATTCCCTGTCATTAATTGCTTCTTAAACTCCTCTGCCTTTGCCATATTCAAGAGAGATTGATTGAAGAAGAAGCTTGATGAAAGTTTCTTGCCGTGCACACTTTTGTAATAGGCAAGATGGTTATTTGGCGCAGCATTTGATAAAGGAAAATTATATATAAAAAAAGGAAAAAGAAAAGGAAAAAGAAAAAGAAAAAGCTTCCGGATTTGCTGTATATACACCATTATTAGTCTCTATCTCTCTCTCTCTGAGTCTGACGCATGTAAATTTTACTCTAAATTCGTCGAAATCTCAAACTCATCGGAATTCAACAACGTAGTCTCAGTTTCAGTGAGTATATTGTTTATCTCTAAAAATGCTTCTGACCCTTTTGTGTATCTATTTAAATTTGTAATTTTTCTTTTTGGTCTCTGTTCCGTTGAAACTTGAAAAGTTGAGAAATTTTTGATGTGGATGCTATCCTGTCTGATTAGATTATCATAGAACGATCAAATTGGGTAGAACCCATATAGCTTTTTTGTTATTGGGTTACCAGAAAATTATGAAATAGTTGAATTACTAGAGGTAAATTTATCTGTGCTTCTCCGATTTCTCAGCAACCAAAGGGAGCTTTGGATACTTTTATTTATGTTCCATTTGGTTTCTGGGAAAATTGAAGAATCTGAAAGAAAATGAAGTGTTGATGCCTTTAAACCGCACGTAAGGATGGACAACTTTTGATGCTTAGTTATGAAGTGTGAGAATTGTAAAAAGAGTAGTGCTACCTTGTGTTTCTGTAAAAACGTTTCAGTCACGCTTCGTAATATCATAGGAGATTTCGAGCTAAATGAACAGAGAAGGGGAGAGGATCTGGGGGCTCAAACTAATTTTTTTAATATATGCTTTTAGATTATTGTTTGACACTTTTTCAGATGAAAGGGCATACATATCTGATTCAGAGTGTGCCAGTTCGCCCTTGGTTCAGTGGCGTAACTCTGTTGACAAATACTCCCTTGCAATTAGAAGATCATAGGATTCTTGTTCATTTGTATGATTTTGTTTAAATTTTTTTTAATGGTGACCTCAATTAGAAATTTTTCAATGATAAAAAATCACTTCAGATCGAGGAATGGCTAAACCAGTTGTCGCCGCCCAACCGTCAGCTTCATTTGAGTATGAGCTTTTAGATGGTGATTCTGATCACCTAAGGACAGTCGTAGGCTCTACAGACCAGAAAAGTTCGTGGATTGAACCTTCAAAGTTGAAACTTCGACACAGAATTGGGCGGGGACCCTTTGGTGATGTTTGGTTAGCAACCCATCATCAGTCAACTGAAGATTATGATGAGTATCATGAGGTGGCTATCAAGATGCTTCATCCAATTAAAGAAGACAACATGAGAATTGTGTTGGATAAACTAGAAGATATGTTCCGTAAGTGTCAAGGAGTAAGAGGTGTTTGTTGGCTACATGGAACTTCAATAATCAGTGGAAAGGTGAGTCACATTTTTGTACTCGAAGCACTATCAGTAGATTTCCATACATATATGGGTTCTAGCTTGCTAAAAGCAATTCGGGTTTGTACTCTCAGATATGCATCATAATGAAATTATATGAGGGATCAGTTGGTGACAAAATGGCTCAAATCAGAGGAGGAAAGCTTGCACTTTCTGATGTTCTGAGGTGATTTGAGTCTTGATTAGACAGTGAAAAAATCCTCAATTTTACTATTTTTATAAGCTTTCGGTGCTCAGTTCTCACTTGGGCTATTGGTTACAGGTATGGGATAGGGTTGGCTGCGGGGGTTTTTGAACTACACTCCAAAGGGATCTTGGTTCTTAACCTAAAACCTTCTAATGTTCTTCTAGATGAAAATGACCAAGCAATACTTGGAGATTTTGGTATTCCTTATCTATTGCTTGGCATTCCATTGATAAGCTCAGATATGATTCGGAGGATCGGAACGCCAAACTACATGGCACCTGAACAGTGGCAACCGGAAGTACGAGGTCCAATATCCTTTGAGACCGACTCTTGGGGTTTTGGGTGCAGCATTGTGGAACTGTTGACTGGTGTCCGACCTTGGGGTGGGAAATCTGTTGATGAAATATCTGATTCAGTAGTCAGAAGGCAAGAAAAACCAGATATACCAAGTGGACTTCCTCCTGCAATAGAGAATCTTCTTCTTGGTTGCTTTGAGTACGACTTGAGGAGTCGCCCTTTAATAATGGACATATTGAATGTATTTAAAAGGTACGTGTCTCTTCTATGTTTATATCCTGTTTTGGGTTTTTGAGATGATGAATATAATGATGCCTTTCTAGGTAGTTGCAGGTACTCCTGTTAGGTTGCTTTTCACTTATACGTTGCTCTTCAGATGATGGGTTGGGATCTATAACTTGCTGTAGGTCAGGGGCACATACAGTGCCTGTTTATTATTGGCTGAAGTGCTTATATAAGTTGAGAGAATGATCATAAGAGTGAATGATTCATATTTAGATTCGTTAAGCAATATTGGGTACAAACTACTCTACCTCTAATACATGTATTTGATAAAAACCTCATTGTTCTTAATAACCCAAATCAGAATATATGCATACAAAGCAGGTTTTATGGTGTGAAGTATTGATTTTTAAGGTACATGTGAGCAGAAGAAATCACTTCGTTGTGTCTTATGTGGGACCATATTCATATACACTTCGAAAGATTTAACTTATGTTTGTATCATATATAAATCTAGAATCATAACTAAAAGTGTGGTTACCTTTTTCAGTATAGGCAGTTCTTAGGTCCACCATAAACAGTCTTCATTTAGAGAATGCTCATGCGCTTTACAAAGTACAAACAAAACTTTGCTGGTTCTTGTGCCCAGCCAGATTCGATCATGCAAGCTTTTTGATATTATTGCTTAATTAAGTTGTTATCACATGATTATTATATGGTTGTGGAAGCCATTGTATCGCATGAACTTTCTGTGATTGCATAGAAAGCAAAAAATTGGGAAGAAAAAAAAAATCGCAAAGATGACTTCCCAGGCAACATTTCAAATCTCATAATTTAATATAGAGAATATGCATGTAGGGTTATCTCTGCAGATGTTGAAAGAAACCCTTTGTAATGGGTTGGTCAATATTACAAAATTTTGCAGATGCTTATTTATGTCCCTCTTCATATAATTATATAATCAACTGTGTTACTGCTTGCTGCTTGTTTTTGGTGTGTGAAATAGAAGTGTTCACTGCTTGTACCCATTTTTATTAATTTCTACCACACAAGCAGCTTGCAGAATGCAATCTCCAGTGGTGGAGACTGGACAGGTCTTGGGACTAGAACAATCACGGAGAAATCAAGTAGCACTGGTTACACGGAGTGGTTCCTTTCAAAGGATCATCTCCAAGTGGGTGACACAGTGCGTTCCAGAAAGCCAGCAAACTCCTGCAAACCTGAAAATATGTATGTGCCAGAAGGCACAGTAGTGGGTGTAGAAGGTGACACAGATCACCATGGGTTTGTTTTGGTGAGGGTTCATGGCATCCATGACCCATTAAGGGTTCATGTTTCAACACTGGAGCGGGTAACTTTTGGCTTGGCAGCTGGTGATTGGGTGCGCTTGAAGAAAGAAGACAAGAAACACTCACCAGTAGGTATTCTTCATTCCATCAATCGTGATGGTAATGTAGCTGTTGGATTTATAGGGTTGGAAACTCTCTGGATGGGGAATTCTTCAGAGTTTCAAATGGCAGAATCCTACTGTGTGGGTCAGTTTGTTAGGCTGAAAGCTAATGTTTTGAGCCCTCGTTTTGAATGGCCTCGTAAGAGGGGAGGGATATGGGCTACTGGGAGGATTTCTTGGATCCTACCAAATGGGTGCCTTATTGTGAAGTTCCCGGGAATGCTGACTCTTGGGGATGAGAACTCGTACCAACATCTTGAGGATTTCCATTGGGCAGTGAGACCACTTCTGGTTGCATTGGGGCTATTCACAGCCATGAAGCTAGGCATCTTTGTTGGATCAAAAATGGGGAGATCCAAGGTGAGGAAACAACAGACTGGTGCTGCACAGAATGAGAATCAACACACAGATGGTCAGAATTCCGGCAATCCGGCATGGAGGCCTCCTAACGTGGCAAATATCCTTTTCCGAGAGGGTGCTTCAACAGGTCTTGCTCGGTAGTTTTATGCACAGTTCATCTGCCCAGAGCTAGTGAAGTTTGCTGTAAATCATACTTATCTGCTGTAACTAGTTTGTTGGGTGGTATAGGGCATCTTACCATTTCACTTCTGCGTGCTGGAGAGCAGCAGAATAAACAATTATCAGTGTCAAATTTAGGGCAAACAGATTCGCTCTTTATGTATATAAAAATGTAAATATGTTAATTGACTTATTTGTGTGACTAAGACTGCAATGTACTTAACTTTGACCCATAATTTTATGCGGTATTATTTCCTGGAAACTACGAAAGGACAAGGTCGAAGCTTTCCATGTGAAACAAGTCTCTATCGCTTGAAGGTCATGCTGCCTTTCAAGTTTTAAGAAGAGAAAATAACTTGAAATACAAGAAAATAAAGTATAAATCAAGGAAACAGGAATCTCTATCGAACTTTTGGTTTGGTGCTCATCTTCCTCATCTTGTGTATTATGTTCAAAGCAAGTCGTTTTGTTGTTTAAAAAATACATTGCAAATAAGAAAACACCAATTAAATTTTATACAACTCATAAGTCATATTATACAACGTTTAACATCTCGACATTAGATGCTATTTATGGTGATGAGTGGTACAAACAATCACTTCTACCAAATCTAAGAAAGTAGATCCGTTGGATATCTGTACAGAACCCGATATCAGGTCACTAGCTTCTGAATTACCTCTGCAGGCCCTGTTCTTACAACAATACCAGCCTCTTTCACAAGCTGATCGGTCAAAGCCGAAATCCGGGAAACTTCTGTTGTAACCTCCGTTAAACATTCATCGTTCTCCGCCACACTTCTGCTGGGATCAGAACCATCTGGCAGGAAGATGGTGGTATAAGCATCAGCCTCAATGCTCAAGCTAGCTTTATGCAAAAATTCCCCGCTCATTTCTGCAAGTTTATGGAGTGCATTGGTTGCTGCTTCAACTTCCAGTTGGGCTGCCTCGATTTGAAGCTTCTCGATTGCCAAGTCTCCGATACTCTTCTCCCCTAATCTCTCTTGTGCCAAAGCATAAAGCTGTCTCAGATCATTAGCATCTTTGGCCTCTTCTTTCATTTTCTTTACTTCTTTTTCTTTTGAATCTAGTCTCCCCAGAACCATCTTAAGCTCCTCGTCTTTGATTGTGAGAGCCCTCTGAGAAGCTAGGACTTCCATTTCTTTTGTTCTTAAGCTGTCCCTTGCTAATTCAAGCTCAGTTTCAAGCTGTTTTATCTGCAACCTAAAATCATCAGCTGGATTCTCCAATAGTTGCTGCAGTAAGTCTTGGCCCATGTCATCAGACATTCTGGGTGCACTGGAGTCGTCATCCTTGATGGATATAACCAACTTATTAGCGAGCTCAACAATCCGTCCTACCACAGTTTCAGCTTCTGAATATTTCAGCTTTGTGTCATTCAACTCATTTTGCATTGTGTTTACATGTTCGTCTTTCTCCTTGAGCATAGTAGTTGCTTGAATAAGCTGGTCCTCTTTACTGTTCAAAAGCATCTTCAGCTCTGCAATTTCATTGTTTACTTCCTCAAGTTTATTCCTTGCATTTAAAAGTTCCAAATCTTTTTCGTCCAAAATAAGCTTAAGAGAATCCCGCTCAGGTTTCAAATGCTGAATTTCGAGCTTAGCCTCCACCATTGCTGATTCTTTAACCTGAAGGAGATCACGCATTTTCCCGAAGTCAGCATTTTTCTTGTCTAGCTTCTTTTGGAGCGAAGAAATCCCATTGATAGCCTGATGCAGAGAGTATCTCTCTTTCTTCAACAGCTTTTGTAACTCTTCCATAAGCTCCTTCTCCATGGATAAGTCCCGTTCAAGCTCCTTTTTTTGAGCCTCCGCAACCCTAAGCTTTGCTCTTTCACTCTGTACTTCTATTTGGGCATCTTTCAAAGTTGTTAAGTAAGTCATAACATTTCCCTTGTGTTCTTCGAGCTCTTCCCATTGAGTTTCCAAAAGCTTCTCTTGTTCTTCCATTTTCTGTCTAGAGGAAGCCAGAGATTTCTGAGAGGAAACCAACTCAGACCTCACATCAGCGAGAAGCTTCTTCACTCTTCTGAAATCCTCTAAAGTTTCATTTGTTCCTCCAGCATGTCCAGATGCTTCCTCTGCTAGTTTCTTAAGTTCTTCCTGTGCCAATAACCACTCCATTGTCTGCTTCTCCAACTTTTCCTCCGCAACTTTGAGCTTCTCCACTTCAAGTTTCCTCTGCATCTGAGAAACTTCCAATTCTTCTTCTTTCTCCTGTAGAGATTTCCGGAGCCCTTGAACCTCAACTGCTTGTCTCTTGACAACTTCATTGGCTTCATTCAGCAGGTGAGACTTGCATTTAAGCTCACACTCAGTCTTAGCAGCTTCTTCACTCTTTAACAACAATTCATTTCTCATTTTGTCCAATTCCTCTTCTTTCAAAGAAAGTGCGGACTGTGCAGCCGCGATCTCCTGATCTCTCTCTCTCAGCCGAAGCTTTATGTCATCTATGTGCCTGGCTTGGGAAGCTAAGCGAAGATTAGCCTGCTTCAAATCCTCCCCTATTTTTTCATACCTACAAGAAGCTGCAGCAATTTCTTTCTCCCGTTGCTCCAGCTCCTCCTTTGTGCGGTGTAATTCACAGTGCTCGAAGAAAACCGTTCTTTCAGCGTCCTGCAAATCTTCTTCCTTCTTCTTCAGTGCTGCCAATGCAGCATGAAGATCAGACTCCAGGATTTCAAGGTTAAACCCTAGCTGGATATCCTGACGATGATGAGAATTTCGGTTCATCTGTTCTTCCAGTTTCTGAGTCTGTGCAAACAACCTCTCAAGAAGAATCCTTGCAGGTTCCGATGCTCCATTGTCACTAATGCTCGACTTCCTATTATTTAAGACTGATCTAATAATCCTCAAGGAAGAAACTTTTCGCTTTGTGATAGTTATAA